AATAATAATAACTTGTTTTGTGAACTCTTTTTCCACCGGGTAGAATTTGATAAGAAGTGAAAATTCTTTCAGGAGTGATCCAGTCTCCATAGATTGCACATTTCAGCTGTTCATGAACAGGGAATGTTTTGCAGTACTTTTCAGGTCTCTTTGTACCCGAAAGGACATGGAAAGACAGAAGAGAGTCAGGATGCACAACGCCAAGGCTTTTACGGGCAGAGGAAATAAGCTTTTCATTGTTATCAAACATGTTGCGGAATGCTCCCTCTTTAATATAGTAAAAAAAATGAGAGAAATATCTTCTGGAGCGGAGGTCAGCAACCAGTAGATTGTGATATACCAGCAGATCTTGGCCAGATGCCTGGTAAATCACAATCTGGGCTTGCTGACCCGCCATCCCAGAGCTTCGGACTGCAATGCAGGGGGACTAGTTGTAAAGTTGGAGCTGTAGTAGAAGGCAAGGGCTGTATAAACTGATGCCTCCTCTGTAGTGCCGACTCCTGTCCCATGCGGAGTGATACCAATGCTACTCAAGCTCTTATCACTGCTAGCAGTCTTCAGGGTGGTGCCAGCTGCAGGAAAGAAGAGATCTTCAGGTCAGTGTGAAGCAATACACTGGACATAATAGTATAGGGCTGCTTTGACGCTGATGTATTGTGGTTTGTGACACGGTAGTACGGCAATTAGAGGTTTAAATCTGTGCCCAGTGATCTTTGACTTCTCTTATGTTCTTCAAGTAGATCTCCACCTCTTAAAGGTTGCCTCCCCCTGTTCTACAGCTTCCTCCAATGCCGCCTTAATATTCTCTTCTGTGTCTGTGTCCTCTGGTACCAGCATATTGGCACCTGACTCTGGTTGACAAACGGGAGTGGGAGAAAAAGCATGGGGTTTTTGGGCCCTGGACTGGCTGTATTTAGGCCATAATTTGTCCAAGGAAATATGACAGATGCAGGGAATTCTACTTTAGTCAAATAGCTTTGCTTGTTATGTACTAAAAAATAGATCTAGAATCAGATGCCAAGACCAGTATTAGAGCTGGTTCTTGCTCCAGTACAAGAGATACATTGTCACTCTGAGGTTGAGTGTTGTGTGGGCTTTTACCAGAGTGAATGTTTGCCTGAGATTTTGCATTGGCTCCCTTCCATGGTGGATCTTCCACCTGGTGTCTGCCATTGCTACAAGTGTGGATATTCCACTGTGGGGTACTCACAAATTAGGGTGAAGTGTATAGGGTAGGCATGTCTTTAAGTATACAGTAAGTGTCCTTAAAGAGTACACAGTAAGCAGTGTAGATCATCCTCTAACGAATCCTCATGGCAATAGGGCAAGAGGAAGGGCCTAAAATTCCTTATAAGGGCTCTAGTCAGACGTGCCAGTAAAGTGTATAACCAATGGTGTGATGTAGCACTCAGTCATCCACCTGAGACTGAGTTCTAAGAGGCTGAATTTTTAGGCCATGTTTGGATTGTACTAACCTTGCAGTTTAAACATTTCAAACATTGCTTTTACATTAAAGGTCAGAGAAAGAGAGTGAGCCTGTTGTATCAGTCCAGGACACTAGAATGTAAATAGAGTACAGTGCTTAACAGTGGGCATACCCCCAAAGGGATTTTCAAGGACTGGGTTCCATAGCGACAGACCACAGCCCTGGACCTGTATAGCACCCTGTGCCTAATTCAATGTATTGCACCAACCGCCAAAAATAAAAATGCTGAACTAGTTAAGCTAAGGATGATTTTCTCAGTGAAGAAGAAAAATTCCATCATCTTAAGACAGTACCTGAAAACTGAGGACTCACAGAGTGGGGTTATAGGGCAGATAAACAGGGGTCCTCTAAAACATTGCCAGTGTCTAATCACTTGAAGGTACATGCCTATAACTCATGGTGCCTGAATACTCTAGTTCTGTCCTGTACAAGATATGTGGTTACCCCTAACAACCAATCCATCCATCCATCTTTGATATATAACACTACACTAAAGTCTGATTGCTCTGGAATACAGCACCTTGTAAATATTTACTTATTAATTAATAACTACACAAACCTGGAAGGAGAACCATTATGCAAGGACAGTAGGTTTGCAATATCAAGTTTCAACTGCAGAAATGACTTAGCCAGTATGGTAACAATCGGGTCCTGTGTTGCTACATGGGGGCTGGCAGCTAACCTGGACAGACCGCAAGGAGGGCTCAACCGTAAGTTCTCTACCTTTACTTTTTTTTTTTTTTCTCCAAGAAGTGGTAACTCTGAGGGCAGCAAATGAGGAATAGCATTGTACAATGTGCAAACACACTAATTTTTATGATCTATGATAATAAAAAAGACCAGATGGATGTAGTCTTAGCATTAGCAAATGAAAGAAAATCATTACAGCAGACATATACTTTACACATGTCCTGGATGAAATAATGAGATTCCAGCACAGCTCTATATTACAATATATACAACTTAAAAGCCTACAATTTTTTGTTATAGTAAAGTAATGACTTAAATAAAGGAAAACTCCAGGAAGAGCAAATTAGACAGAGGTAACATTTTTGTTGAAACGGACCACCCCTATGTAATACAGATTTACACCATCAGTCGTGGGCCCATTCACACCTTTGCATTACAATAATGGGAAGCAAAAACTTGCTTCTAACAAAACACTTTCATTATTTGTATTTGAAGTGGTGAGGGTTTGAAACTAATTTCACTTTTTACTGCTCATACATACAATCCAATGAGAGTGCCAAATAAACATCCAAAAGTCCAACGTTTTTAATGTTAAAGTGGATTCATAGCAGAAAAAAGCTTGCATATTTTTGGCTTTCTTATGGTGATTTTTTTTATGTTGTGAATCAATTTTATCATTAAAAACGTTGGACTCTTGGACATTTACTTGGCGCTGTCATTGGATTGTACAGTATGTATGTGGTCTCCCAACTCTGGGCTCTTTCCCTGTACTTTGGGGGGGGGGGGGGGGGGGGGGGGGGAGTCCATTTTGTGGAGTGCTGCTGAACTGAAGTCAGTGTGCCTTGCAACAATTTCAGTGACCCTTAATCCAGCTCCCTTTTTGTTCTTGAGATCAGGTATTGTTTTTGATGTGTCCCCATTACAGAGATTTGCTTCATCTTATTGCCCTGATCACCAATGTAACTGCAAATGAAAACAAGTGTAAACCCAAAATTATGAGTTACAACTAGAGCAGGAATAGAAGGGAAAATCTTCCGATGGGGAAAACATCTTCCCATGACAACTGTCAAGGGATATCCCTAATATTAGAAAGATCTCCTCCCATTACCCATCGAGTCAAAAGGACAGGAAGCGAAAGGAAATCTCCCCAATAAGACACAGAAGGGTTCCTACCCTACTCAAACCAAAATGTTTTTTTCAGTTTGGATAAAGATATACTTTAATTCTGGCACCCCAGCACACTATTGCAGTAGTGTTGATGCACTGTGTTAATTCAGCTCACCTTAATGTACAATATATATACATCATGTGCCCAGGCCCGGTGATCTACCAGCTGCTGTGCCTTGTCCTGGCTGGACACATTGTATACACAGATCACTGAAATCACCTTTGTTTCAGCACTTTAAATTAGGCCCATTCATACTTGTGTAGTGCATTGACTTAAGTCAGTCTAATCATTCTGAATGAGCTGACAACACATCTAAATAAGACAATTCTGCACTATTTTTGACCACGCAGTGCACCACAATGGACCATTTAAAATACAGTACAGGTTCAATTCAAAGCTGCAGGTTAGCAGACATGGGTGTCCTATGTTCAGGCACTCCACAACCCAAATCTCTCTACCCTCAGGCTGTACCTAATGTTTGTATTTTTAAGGTGAATACTCCATGATGTTAGCCATTTTGTACAAGATAGTATCATGAAAATCAACCCTTGTCACTGGTCCTATAAACTTAAGTTGCACTCTTGCATTAGGTTTACAAAGCCAACATCAGGTGTGACCAAATTCATGATACTGGGCCATCTGTGTTGGCAATAACCCAATTCTATCCTTCTTTGCACTCTCTACTACTGTATTTGTACTAGTCAAATTACATCCGGAATAGGATTGGTTGCTACAGTCATGAAAGATAGTTTTTTCAGACACTAGTATGGGAGGTCCATCTCAATCAATCACTTCATTAGGTACCACTAAAACTATACAAAATGGGAGTAAATTCTTGACAGGCTGCATTCTGATGTTAAATAAATGGATGTCTATGCATGATGGGTACACTTAAAGGAAACCTATACAAGAAAAACAAAGGCTGACATTGTTGACCTCTCCTCCTCAGACTGACTGCCAATCCTACCCTCAGATGAGGACTTCCATCTTCCCTCTTCGAATCTGCGTACTTTTCCCAGGTTGTTATGCCAAAGTACTAAAGCCAGTCAGCATACCAGCCAGCATTTTCATAAGGTCAGCAATGCCAGCATGTATTTCTCACAAGACAGCTGTAATTTAAATATACCAAAAAAATTCACATACCATGTGGGGTTTATGTCCTCTCAATACAAAACCAAAGTACAAAAACAAACATGGCTGCAAAAAAGCATCAAAGTATTTTCCTTGGCATTATACTGCAGTGCAAACAGCAGAGCTGGCAGATTGCAGGAGCCAGATATCTACAGGAATAAGCAAATGCAAACAGTCCAGCTTTCAAGAACATGGATCCCATGCACCCATTGGGCATTATTTATCAATGCTTTACCAGGGAAGAATTGGCTCAGAGCTTCTGTGTTGCCCATAGCAACTAGATCCTTACTTTCAATGCACAGGGAGAAAGGAAAGGAGAATCTGTTTGGTTTCAAAGGACAACATAGATAGCTTTCTGCTCAGATATGCTGATAAGAAGCCCATTGAGTGTAATATTGTTTCATAATAGCATTTTGCAGCTTCTGGTAGAAGTGAAGGCAGCTGTTGGCCAATGGCACTAGTGCGGTGGTTATTGCAGAGCTGGAAGCTGAGGACAGCCCTGATCTAGGCTGTAGGCCTTGGTCTTTATGATGATGATGATGACGACAGGAACTTGCTGGCCACTTTGTAGTGATCAGGTGACCCTGAGCTGTGTCTCTGTAGGAGTTCTATTGCTTGAGCCTGTAACTCAGAGGTCAGTTTCGAAGAAGGAAAATTAAGTAGCACCAGACAACTCTCCAGTACATCTGGAAATGGCAAGACCTGTGAGGGAAAAGATGGCAACTGTAACACACAACCAACAATGAGCCTGAAGATAAAACCATTTTCTAATGAAGCTTATAGTTTATATAAAACAAAAAAGTAATAAAATGCAGTTTACCAATCCCGAAATTCATTGTAAAATCTATTTTTTTGTAAATAACAAACATGTTATACTTACCAGCTCTGTGCAATAGAATTGCACAAAGCAGCCTTAATCCTCCACTTGTGGGGTCCCTCACTGACATTCCTGCCTCCTCCTCTTCTCAATCTGCCACCACAGGAAGCCTGCATCCGCAGACACATAGCGCACAGCCCCGCCCCCCCCCCCCCCCCCCCAATCACAGGATAGCGAACCAGTGGCGCCTGTGAGAGCTGCTGCAGAGCAGACAGATACAGTGCTGGATCTGGTAAGTATAAGGGGCTGGGGGGTGAGGGGGCGATAAAGGTACTGTAACATTTTTTGCCCTAATACAGGGAATGCATTAAGGTAAAATATTTAGGCTTTAGAACCACTTTAAAGAGGAACTACACTGCATCTGAGCACCACAAACTAAAAAAAAAAAAAAAAAAAACGCAATTTAATTCATTTTTTAATCAAAGCAAACTCACCAATCCATCCATATTTCCATGGATGGATGGTGGAGAAATCACTTTGAAAAAGACCTCCTAGCATTTCTAGCCATGGCCATCTTGAGTAAGGGCAGATGATTCTTGTAGCATTTACTTCCTGGAATCCATCTGCCCTTACCTTAGGAATGCAGACAGGAAGCTGAGAAAACCCCTTCTCTCATGAAGACTCTTGGGGTGTATGATGTAATTTGCCTAGGCCTGTAAACCAGGAACTAACTGAAGAAATGTAAAAAAAAAAAAAAAAAAGTTTACTTTCCATTCTATTTACTAAAGCTGGCAGCATAATGAATTAAAATAGTCAATGCTGATTGAGAGAGTCAAGTTCTGCTTTAAATGTGGTAGCTGAATAAGTTTTCTATTTAGGCTTTTTTTTCCACCTCATTTCCTGTTCTAAGGTGATTACACTCACTCACTGTACTGTAACTATACAAGAGCAGTCTCGTCACTCCAGTAAGGAAATGTGTTAGGTCTACAGAACACCTCCTCTCCTTATCTCTGAAAACTTCCTGTGCTTTCTGTACCTGCAGATTTATCTGCACTGTTCCCAGCTTACAGTGGTTATAGAAAAGAATCAATCCCTTTAAATTAACTGCTTTGTTGGTTTGCAGTTTGAAATGAGGAAACAGTTTTTTGTTTTATCCAGCTTTATTTACTCAGTGAAACTTAAAACATCCAAGTGAAAGATATAATACTAACATGTCACTAAATATTAAAAAAAATAAAACAAAATAAAAAACAAAATCACCGAGTTGGAAAAAGGGTCACCCCCTCCTAAAAATTACTTGTAAACGCAATCAGGTGTGGCTAATCACTTTCTCAATGGCACACAAAGCCATTTGACTTTCAACTGTGATCAGCTGTGGTCATTTTGATTATCTCAGCATGAAAAGAACTTTCCTGGAGCATTTCAGTCCCTGATAGTGCAACTGAAGCAAACAATCAGGACACTGTCAAAAGATGTCCGGGATAAAGTTTTGGACAGACACAAGTCAGGAGATGGATACAAAAAAAATTCAAAGGCTTTAGCAATGCCTAAAAGCACAGTGAAGTCTATTATTAAGTAGTTGAAGGTATCTGGTACAACACAGACCCTTCCTGGATCAGGACTTCGCTCCAAACTGAATGAAAGAGCCAGGAGAAAACTGGTCAGAGAGGCTACCAAGAGGCCTCCAGCAACTCTGAAGCAGTTACAGGAATTTATGAGAGTGGTCACTGTGTACATGTGACAACAATATCACAAATTCTCCACAATTGTGGCTTGTATGGGAGGGCTGCAAGAAAGAAGTCACTCCTCAAGAAAGGCCACGACTAAGCTTTGCCAAAACGTACCTTGAAGATTCTGAGGCCACATGGAATAAGGTGTTCTGGTCAGATGAGAATAAAATTAAATTATTTGGCCTCAACAATAAATGATATGTCTGGCGGAAATCCAATACAGCTCACCATCCAAATTACACCATTCCTACAGTAAAGCATGGAGGTGGTAATATCCTGTTATGGGGGGGTTTCTGTGCAGCGAGGTTTACCTTCCAACATGACAATGACCCAAAGCACACAGCAAAAATGACCACACAGTGGTTGAAGGAGAAAAAGGTGAATGTCCTCGCATGGCCTAGTCAGAGCCCAGACTTAAACCCTATTGGAAATCTGTCGAATGACTTAAAGACTGCAGTCCACCAATGGTCACCATCAAATTTAACTAAACTTGAGCATTTCTGCCATGAAGAGTGGGCAAATATTGCAAAGTTAGTAAAGACATATCCCAACAGACTAATGGCTGCAATTAAAGCAAAAGGTGGTTCAACAAAATAATGACACAAGGGGGTGATCATTTTTCCAACTCAGTGATTCTGTTTTTGAATTTTTTTTTCTGACATGTTGGTGTTATATCTGTCACTTGGATATTATAAGTTGCAAATACAGCAGGATAAAACAAAAACCGTGTCGGTCTTCATTTCAGGCTGCAAAGCAACACAATGTTATTATTTTAGGGGGAGTGATTCTTTCCAATACCTACTGTATCTCTGTGAACTACAACTCCTCCCCACACCCATATTATGAAGCGTAGAGAAGGAGGTTTTATATAGTCTTGTCTTCGGGTGACAACGCTACTCCTTTATGCTGTAGATACAGTATGGTGAGTGAGGGACGTGCTTTCAGATAATTGGACACCGGCAAATCTTTTGAGGACATGCCCCTTGGGTGCCTACCCTATAAGCCTACCTTACTCCGTCAGTCTTGTTTCGTAGCAAACAATGCAGAGTAAATGGGAGGCTCTGTCCTGTACTTTACTCCAACATACAGCATGCAATTTACAGGTAAGTCAAAATTCCTCTTTTGTTATGCATAGAGTACAGAACACAGGCTGAGTATTCCCAGGCCCTAGGATGTCCCCAAACTTTGAATGAGAAGGGTGGGCAACAACTAGAAAAAACAGAACTGTGCCAACACGTCCAACAAGTGCCGCTACAAGAACCGTATGACCAAATGCTGCCTCCGCAGAAGATTGTTCATAGCTTTTCAAAGGTTTACCAGGTGGATGTCCAGAGGAGGAACTGGTGGCCTTACAAAGCTGGGTTACAGAGGCTTGGTGCCGAAATTCCCAGGAAACACACACTGACCTGGTGGAGTGTGCAAATAAACGTCCAGGAAGAGTTTATTTTTTTCCTTTGGAGTATAAGCTCTAGTGAGTTGTCTTATCCATCGAGTGATGGTGGACTTGGAAGCAAGATGTCTCTTGCGAGGTCCTGAAGATAGACTCCCTACTTGTCCTATCTTCCTGATAGAAGCTGTTGCTTTGAGGTAGACTCTCATGGCTTGGACTATGTCCAGGCAATGAAGAGCAATTTCCTTTGAGTACTTTGGAGCCAAGCACAAAGATGGAGGTACTATGTCTTTTTAACTTTGGTTTCACTTTTTAAACTCAGCTGCATTGTAATCTCACAATATCTCACAAGATCACAGGCAGCCCTCCTCTTCTACAAAGATTGCAGCCATTCTCCGGGAAAAAACTTCTCTCTTCTTCTGAGAACAAATGTTCTTGGCTTCATAAACAGGGTGCCAGAGGAGATGATTTTTCTCTGAGAACTGAAATGAGAGAAAACGGGATTTTTTTGTACTCACCATAAAATCTCTCTCTCTGAGTTCATTGACAGACACAGCAAAGCAGGTTTTATAGCCCCACCTACAGAAGTAGGACACTTGGCAAAAAAAAAAAATTGCACTCCTATAGGCAGTCCCCTCTGGGTATAAAACCCTCCTCTCTGCTATAGGTCCCCAGTCTGTCACAAGCAGTGTCAAAGGAGAGGGGTGGGTGCTGTGTCCGTCAATGAACTCACAGAATGGGATTTTACGGTAACACCTCACAAACTTGAGAAACAGATGCCTGGATGTAGGAACGCCCATGAGGCGCTAACCAGTGGAGTGTGCCGTAACCGGGAAGACCGAAACATTATCTTGTCCTTGTGCAAAACCATATAAGGCAGCTTATAGGATAAAGCCGCCAACTCCGACACCCTCCAGGCAGAAGTGATAGCAACAACGAAGGCAACATTTTGCGAAAGTATAAGCAAGGGGATGTCCCGAATGGCCTCAAATGGAGGCCTCTGAAGAGCGGACAGCACCAAATTCACATTCCAAAGTAACAAAGGGGAGCGCACAGGCGGAACTATGTAACGAACCCCCTGAATGAAAGAACGGACCAAAGAATGCGTAGCTATGGGCCACTGAAAGAAAACCACCAGAGACTTGACCCTTGATCGTACTCAACGCAAGCCTCTGATCCACACACAGTTTGAGGAAGCCCAAGACCCGAGCCACAACGAAGGAATGAGGATGGAACCCCAAGGCTTCACACCAACCAATATAGGCGCTCCAGGTGCAATGATATATCTTCCAGGAAGTAGACTTATAGGTCTTCAACATAGTCAGAATCACCGAGCCAGACAACCCCGTCCTTCAGAACCTGGCTTTCAATAGCCAAGCTGTCAAAGCCAGCGACGGTAAAGCAGGGTGGAAGACCAGCCCATGAGACAGAAGGTGAAAAGGCAGCCTCCAGGGAGTATCCGCCACCAATCGCATCACGTCAGCGTACAACGGACGATGAGGCCAATCCAGAGTAATAAGGATGACTGGGATCCCTTCAGCCTCTATCCTACGTAGTAGACGAGTTATCAGTCGAAGGGGTGGGAAGGCGTAGATGACAGAGTACTGATCTCACAGCACCATCAGTGCATCCACTGCATCCGTCAGGGGATCCACCGATTGTGCCATGAACTGTGGAACCTTCCGATTGAGGTGGGAAGCCAGAAGATCCATGTTTGGAGTCCTGTAGCAAATGTAGAACTGATGGAACACTTGCGGATGTAGGGACCACTCACCCTGATCCAGCGACTGACGGCTGAGATAAACCGGTTGCCAATTTTCTGCATCTGGAATGTGTACGGCGGACAGAGCCGGAACAAACCTCTCTGCCCATTGCAGAATGTGAGATGCCTCCAGCGCCGCTGCTGGCACTTCTCGCGCCCCCCTGATGATTGACATACACCACCGCAGTGGAGTTGTCTGACTGAATCCTGGTCGGCAGACCCGATAGACGGTCTGTCCAATGTGTCAGTGACAGCCTGATCGCCCGAAGCTCCAGGATATTGATGGGTAGGTGAGCTTCCCCCAGAGTCCAGGGACCCTAAGCAGAGCAAATCATCCAGGTAGCCAATCACTATGATCCCCCATTGTCTCAATAAGGCCAGGGCCGGGGCTAGGACCTTGGTAAACACCCTGGGTGCGGAGGCAAGACCAAAGGGCAAGGCCACAAATTGATAATGTGCATCCCCGATGGCAAAAAGTAGGAAGTGCTGATGCCCCTCGTAAATGGGGATGTGCAGGTAAGCGTCATTGATGTCCAAGGAGGCCAAGAAATCTCCCTGGCGGAGGAAGCAACCATGGAGCAAATTAATTCAATCTTGAACTTGTGAACCCCCATGAAGACATTCAGCGCCTTGAGGTCCAGGACTGGGCGCACCCTGTCCACCTTAGGAACAGTGAACAGGTTGGAGTAAAAGTCATGAAAACGCTCTGAATTGGGTACTGGGATGACCACTCCACAGAGCAGTAGTTCCAGCACAGCCCCGTACAGGGCTTGCAGGCGACCTAGTGAAAGCTGCAGATTGGAGGGAAAAAAAATCTGACTGGCGGAAGGGAATGAAACTCTATCTTGTATCCTGATAGAATGTTCTTGTGAACCAACTTGTCATGAATGAGGGAGGTCCACAGGCTCAGAAACCTGCAAAGACACCACCCCACCCTGGAAGCAGGTGGGGGCAAACCTTCATACTGAGGTAGACTTATCCGTGGGCTTAGAGGGCTTATGGGGTCCAAGGATGCTTGCTGTCACATGCGGGGGTTTTAAAGAGCCTGGAGCCCTTGGCTGCAGAGCTGGAGGGACGAAAAATGTGTTTATGTGCCGTAACTGCTGGCCCCGACTCCTGACGAGGTTCCTTCCCCTTCTTGGCCTGAGGAAGAAAGGTACTCTTGCCCCCAGTAAGGTTCTTGATGATGTCATCCAGGGTAGTGCCAAAAAGATGGTCACCCAGAAAGGGCAGGTCTGCCAGAGCCTTCTTGGAGGACTAGTCCGCCAACCAACACTTCAGCCAAAAGACCAGCTGGAGCTCAAGGGCCGAGACAGACAGTTGGGAAAGAAGTAGAGCTGCATCAAGGATGGTGTCACAAATGTACTGGTCTGCCAGCTCCACATATGCTTGGGGCAACTGACTAGAAGTTAAGCCTTGTCGTAGAGCCTTGGCCCAAAAGGAACAGACACCACATCAGCTGCACGTGCAGGGCCGTCAGAGGATGTGTTCTCGGTAAATGCAGAACCCACAGCGGCAGGATCTGGTTTGGTCTTGGAATCCTCCGAGGATGAGGGCGATGGCAGGGGGAGCTTCTTGCTCACCTTGCGGCCATCTGCCGCCTCCACTTATGACACGAGCATCTCTAGAACGTCTGACAATGCGTCTAGGGGACTGAGGGACCCAGGACCTCCAGAGGGGGCCTTGGAGGTGCAGCATGCTCCTGGGCTTCCATGGGACCAGTCCCCCCAGCTAGAACTGCCCAGTCCAGAAGTCCACCCCAGTAGGGAGAGAGGAGAGCAAGAACCCCTTGGAGGACTCACCACCACCGCCAGAAGCTGCCAAGGTGCCCATGTGTCCTGCCATCCATCCCGCACAGTGTGTGTGCTGACCTCTGCTCCCACAATCCCGAGGTGCCAGTTCAGGTAGAGATGGTGCAGATGGTGATGGGGCCTTGTGTTTTAGAGCCCTGGACAGAGATGATTGTATCAAAGCACTTAGTTGACCGAAAAATTGTGATATGGTTGCAGAAAAATCTGCAACTAGACTTGGATGCACAAACGAGCGTAAAAAAGTCAGCATTGACACTCTGAGGTTAAATGCTACATGGACTTTTGGCAGAATGAATGTTCACCTGTCTTTTGGCTTATGGCTTCCCTTCGCTTGGTTTCTGCCATTGCTACAGGTGAAAGTGATCACCTGTTGGGTACTCATGAAGTATGGTGCGGAATAGGGTAAGCTTGTCGGATGGAAACCGCATGAATCTGGGTTCAGACCATTCTGTAGCAAAGTCTCCATCACAAATGGATGGAAAGAAAGGCCTGAGTATTAGGACACTAGGCAGAAGTGGAGGTAAGTGGCATGATGTAACACCTGGTCAACCACCTGAGACTAAGCTCTGAGTAATTTTAGTGCCAAGTAGTGAAGTTATACAGATGGCACCCAGGGGGTGTGTCCACAAATACTTTGGCTATGTCCAATCACCTAAAGGTATGAGCCTACAACCCAGGGTCCATAAATATTCAGCCTGTGTCCTGTACTGTATGATTAAGATATTAAAATTATGAAGTAACTACATCTAAAGACTGGTAAGCAGTAATATACAGTATTACATTTTTGCTCTTGGGTTTAGATTCACTATAATTTTGTAACAGAGTCATATTAACCCTACGTCATACGGACCTGACCGCAGGGATTTTTACACACACTCCTGGCGGCTATGTATTCCAGGCTCCGCTTGCCCATCTGCGGGCCCTGGTGCTGCCGGGTAGAGGTGAGGGAGCGGAGCGGACACAATGTCCGTTCTCCTCCCCTTCTTGTTGCTGACCTGGAAGTGATGTGTAAATCGACGCTTTTGGGTCCCCATATCAGTGTCCATTGGGCACTATGGCCGGAAAATAATCTAATGCAGTGCGATCTCCACTGCATTAGATTTAGTAGAGCACAGGGGAGACATCCAGGGTCTAAAAGATTCAATAAAGAGAACCTGTCATGAAAAAAAGCATCACATAGGGGACATTTTGTTTATGTGATGAATATGGGTGTAACATGTAATGAAAGGTGAACATATCTTTTAATGTTGAAAAATGTAAAAGTAATGCACTTAGAGGCTAAAATCATGAACGCAAGCTACAAACTAGGGGAAGAAACTCAGGGGGAATCCAGGATGGAATAAGATCTGGGGTCCTAGTAGATGACAGACTCAGCAATCGCATGCAATGCCAAGCTGTAGAAGGCAAAGTTAGCAGAATTTTAGCATGTATAAAAAAGGAAATTTACTCAAGAGATAAAACTATAATCCTGCCACTTTATAAATCTCTAGTTTGGCTACATCTGGAGTATGCTGTCCAATTCTGGTCACCAATGCTCAGGAGGGAGGCACGAGAACTGGAGAGTGTCCAGACAAGGACAACAAAGTTAATAGGGGAATGGAGGACCTCAGTTACGAGGAACGACTACAAACATTAAACTTATTCTCCCTGGAGAAGAGTCGCTTGAGAGGAGATACTATAGTGATATACCTCAATAGTGATTCTAGCATAGGGCATAAACTATTCAGTCTCAGGGAGTGTAAGAAGACATGGGGCAACTCAATGAATTTGGAGAAGTGGTTTAACCTTAAACTGCGTAGGGTTTTCACTGTCAGGGTGGTAAGTATGAGGAACTCACTTCCACAACTGGTGGTGTCAGCAGGAAGTATAGATAGTTTTAAGAAACCCTTGGACGAGTATTTTAGCGAACACAGTATACAGGGATATGGGAAATGACACACAGGTTGAACTGGATGGACAGGTGTCTTTATTCAACCTTACCAACTATGTAACTATGTGTGCAAAAAACGCAAATCTAATCTGGCAACAAAAAGGTTAAATTGTTTGTTCACTAGTTTAGACTGTAAACATGCATATCCTTTTTTTGTGCTACCATTAACTTTTGTGTTGCAGCACAGATCTCACCTTTAAATATTCTGGATATTCAGCTAACTTATGGTTTGCAGAGGAAAGTTTCTTCATCAGTTCAGCCAGGGAGACAGGACTTGGGGCGGAGCTGGAGGAACAGACAGTGATCAGTGAAAGCAAAGCAATGACTATCACTCACTCAACTCAGTACAACCAACCCCTAAGGTAATAAAAAGGATCAAAAGGAGATATATATATATATATATATATATATATATATATATGCATACATACATACACACAACACCTGGCAAAAAGTATGGAATCACCACTCCTGGAAAATGTTCATTCAATTGTGTAGAGGAAAAAACAGTCACAGAAATGCCTCCAAACTTTTTTCATTTGACATTCCAACCTTTTGGCTTTGAGAAAGAGTTAAAAAAAAAAAAATAAAAAAAGAAAGAAAACTGTAGTCAATTGCACCTGTTTTTGCAGATCAAGTAGAAGAAAAAAAATAAGGAATCACTCAATTGTGAGGAAAATATTATGGAATCACAATGTACTTTGCAGTTCTGCAAATCTGCATCAGATTACATCTGCTAATTAGTCTGCAGTTAAAAAAAGAGTTCTTGCACACCTCGGTGAGCTGTTGCACCAAGCTGATTGACATAAATGGCTCCAACACGAGAGATCAGTTGAAACAAAGGACAGGATTATAAAACTTCTTCAAGAAAGTAAATCATCACGAAAAGTTGCAAAAGATGTTGGTTGTTCCCAGTCAGCTGTGTCTAAAATCTGGACCAAGTACAAATCAAATGGGAAGGTTGTAAAAGGGAAGCATACTGGTAGATCGAGGAAGACATCAAAGCGTCAAGATAGAAAACTTAAAGCAAAATGCCTTGAAAACAGAAAATGCACAACAAAACAAATGAGGAACAAATGGGCAGAAACTGAAACCAATGTCTGTGACCGAACTGTAAGACATTGCCTAAAGGAAATGGGATTTACATACAGAAAAGCCAAACAAAACTATCATTAACAGAAAAAAACAAGGTTACAGTGGGCTAAAGAAAAGCAATCATGGACTGTGGATGACTGGATGAAAGTGATATTCAGTGATGAATAACAAATCTGCATTGGGCAGGGTGATGATGCTGGAATTTGTTTGGTGCTGTTCCGATAAAATGAATAAAGACGACTGCCTGAAGAAAACATGAACATTTCCACAATCATTGATGATATGGGGTTGCATGTCTGGTAAAGGTACGGGGGAGATGACAATCATCACATCTTCAATAAATGCACAAGTTTATATTGAGATTTTGGACACTTTTCTTATTCCATCAATTAAAATGATGTTTGGTGATGATGACATCATTTTTCAGGGTGATAATGCATCTTGCCATAGGGCAACAGCCATGAAAACTGAATGCAGTTTTTTTTTTTTTTTTTTTTTTTTTTTTTTTTTAAGTGTTTCTTAAAGCCAGAAGGTTGGAATGCGAAATGAAAATAGTTTTGAGGCATGTATGTGATTAGTTTTTTTTTTTCTACACAAGTAATTGAAAGAACATATTCCAAGAGTGGTAACTCCATACTTTTCGCCAGGGTGTGTGTGTACTTTTTCTTAACCCTACGTGTTACGTCACGGCACTTCCTCAGGAGTTCGGAATAACGCATAGGGTGGGCCGATGTCGTCAAGCTGCTAAACCGGAAGTTTACAAGCCGCCATCTTGGAAATTCCTGAACACATTGGAATTACATTGTAATTTAAGGTTTTTTTTTTTTTTAACTGTGGTTTCCCAGCAGGATACTTTTAATTGTGAGTGCACTTCGTTTTTTTAAATAAATCACACAATATTTAAGTACTACACTATGGCAAGCGTTTCTGTTTACATATGCGGAGGATATGTGGGATAAGGAGGAGACACGACTGTCTGCAGCAGAGTGAGGAGGAGAGTGGAGCCAACAATACAGTGTACCTACCCGGGTTAAAAGGGAAAGGCGATATTTGACCTATGCAATTTGGGTCATATAAGGAGGTGAGAGTATATATGCATGTCTCTATTGGAGGATACCTTTAAGAATACATATGGATATAAGGAATACAGAGCACCTGTTTGAAAAAAAATCATATATGTACGGAAAAAAATCACATAAGGACTATAAGTTGTAATCGTATTCACAAGCGTTTAAGCATCACGTTTTGGATGTTTTGATGTAGGTAGGAAATTGTATATAAGGATATAGGGTTATATGCGCGGCACTAATATATGATATACCTATTTGTGTGTGGAAACGCATGTAAGTGTCATCAGCACTAGTATACACAGGATGTCGGTGATTTTGTTGCCCTGAAGTTTTACTATTACACATCTATTGGCATAGAGCTTTGCCAAGCTCTGAAATGTAATTATTTATGCACTTTACAACTAGGGAAGCAACAGAGATCGTATGTTGATTTCTTGTAAGCCCATTTTTACCACTGTCTCTAGCAGTAGATTGTCACACTGAACTGGACTTTTTTTTTCGTACTTAGGAGACATTTTATAGCTCATCCATACCCTCGTCAGTTCTAACGAGTGTCAGGAAAATACCTCGAAATTTGTATCTACACAGATAGCGCTGACATCTTGATCCAATCACCATGGAAAGGCAAATGATATTGTCTAAAGGACAGGAAGGGATGTGTGAAAAATGTGGAACCACTGTGTTCTAGCTACAATCTCACTCTGTCAGAAAGTCTTCATAGTTGTTAATCCTTCCATTTACATGGCTGAAGGTGCGAACTGTTATCAAAAACTGGGGTGGAGATGCTAAAACGGCATTATGTGTGAAGGGCCACATTTTTGTTCAAAGATTGTTCCAGTGTAATGTAGCTGGACTCTTTCATGCCTTCTGCTAAACAAGCTGTCCTTTCTATCCAAAATGTACACATCTCTGTCCTTGAAAGAATGCCATTTTCCCTTAGGATGTAGGAAAACTGCTGAGCCCTGATCTGTAGAATGTGAACTCATCTGTTGAGTCAATAGATTTTGGAGATGTTGCTTCATTTTGACAACAATCCACAACTTCAGCCAGGTAAATAGAATGGTTAAAACCTATGAAGCCTTGCTGACAGCAAGGTCAGGATTATGTAACTACAACAGGGTGGTTCCTCAATCGTCACACATCCCATCCTGTTCTTTAACAAGAACATCTAACTTTCCTTAGTGATTGGTTCAAGGTGGTTATGCTACCAGTGTGAATATAAAAGCAGGGGTATTTTCCTGAAACTGATTAAAACAGAAGAAGTGGCTTGGATATGCTATGAAGGGTCTACAATTTTACAGAACAAGTCCAGTTGAATGTGACCATCTATTAGTATATATACAATAATCTGGGTAAATGAGAACCTTCACAAAAGCTACAAGACTTCTTGTCAATATTTAAAAAGGCTTCTACTAACATTTGGCTTCTGCTGTCAGGACATTCTTCTGGAGATGGGATTGAGGCCGTATCGGGGTCTTGTTCTAACTCCAGTGAGTTATCTTGGATTTGCCGGCTCCTCTGATGCTGCTGTATCATCTCTCGCAGAGCCCTTTGAACGTCTGCAATCTCCCGTTGTGCATTCTGGAAGCCAACGTGCAGTTCTGAAAATAGCACCCCAAAATCAGACATTTTTTCTGGAACGTCCTCTACTGCTCCTGAGACATCGTCCTCTATTCCAGCAGAGGTCTCCATCTTGATCTCCTGCGATTTGCGGCCCATGTTCCAACTCCACCATAGCTCATACAGCTTCATATAAGCCAAGTACGCCTGGAGACTTTCAAAAGCAGCAGAACTGTGTTTATTGTCTGGATTGAGGTTACTCCTCAGCTCCTCACAGCCTGAATAATAAAATAAAAAATAATATTATTCCTAGTGTTAGTACTGGCATTCAGAAAGTCTAAGAAAGAACACCACATAAAAATCTAAAATTAGCACCGTTGAGGCCCTACAAAGAAAACTTGGATCATAAAGGCAACTGAATGGAAGAGTCATAATCTACTGAGCTTCTGTATATGTCCACCACTTCCTGCTCTGTGCCAAACTCCCATTGTTAGCTTTTTCTCCGATGACATAAAGGAGGACTTTAAGTGATATTAAAGGCAATTAAAAGAAAAAAAAAAAACCCAAACATGTCATACTTACCTGCTATGTGCAAAACCACTGCAAAGAGCAGGTAAGTATGACATTTGGTATTTTTTTAAAGTTTCTTTAATATCACTTTAAGTCCTCCTTATGTCATGAATTCATACTAAAGTCCTCCTTATGTCAATCATGTCATATTTACCAGTGGTTTTGCACAGAGCAGCCCAGGTTCTCATCTGCTCGGGTCCCCTGCCAGCGCTCCGGGCCCCTCTCTTCTGCCTGGTGCCCCCTGAACAAGCAGCTTGCTATGTGGGCACCCAAACAGGCTCACTCCCAAGCCACTGCTCTGTATGTCCATTCACACGTAGAATTGTGGCTCAGCCCCACCCCCTTTCCTCACTGGCTCACTTAGCTGTGATCGACAGCGGCAGGAGACAATGGAGATTGAGAGTCCTTGGAGATACAAGACTCTCGTGCACATCTCTGGAACGAGATGGGGCTCAGGTAAGTATTTGGGGGGCGGGCTGCTGCACACAGATGGTTTTCTACCTTTGTGCATAAAATGCATGAAGGTAAAAAAAGCCTTTACGAACACCAGCATTTACTATGTAGTGATTGGCTTAGTTGCACTTTGTAAATTCACCGAAAACCTCCAACGCACAGGAAGCAATTTATTAGTATTCACATTTTAATATAATCATGTAGCAATGCTGGGAAAACCTATACCCTTCCATAATGTATTGTGCTTCTGGTGTCCATAGTTTTAACCCCATCCCTCTGAAGACAATTCTAGCCCAGACTACAAAATTATACTGTTCCTATTCCTTAGGGGCCAGTTCAAACCTGAGTCTCATAGGAATGCATTCCTAACTGTGGTACAATTGTCAGCCCATTTATTTGAATGGGCTGTAATCACACTGGACACAAAAAACAGTGCATGCACTACATTTAAAAAATGCACTGCACTAGATCACCGGTACTGCTGTACCATGTGATCCAGTGCAGGCCAATGTACTGCATTTGTGATCTGCGTTTGGGGTGTGATTAAGAATATACTGACACCTGCAGCAGATCGAACATCTGCTTTTTTGAATGATGTGCAGGAAATGTGCATGGAATGTGTGTTTCCCACCCTGTATTCTGGTGTGCACGAGCCCTTTAGGTGAAATTTAGGGATTTAAATGTTAATTTTTTAAATCCAGACCTGGGAAAACACTTGCATGATATATGAGTGTCACGTGCAGGTGGCTGCCTTGTTGCTTGAAATCTTCAGCTCTGCCCCCTAGATACCCCCACAGCTGTGATCTTTGGGTTCTGTCTAGTTTAATATAAGTGACTGTCACAGACACTGTCAAAACTATGCCTATCCTTTCTGCTCATCTGCTCCAATTCTAAAAGCTGTACTATCATTTCCCACTCTATGAATAGAGGAGGCAGACCTTTCATTCATCCGTCCATCCTCCACACAAGTGGCTGGGACAGGTGGAGCCACTCATAATAACTCCAGCAGCACTAGAGGACCATGGTGACACTGTACTACTTGTGAGGGGTGATGAAGATTTTTTTTTTTTGTACACTGATTGCTTTTACACCCATAAAGGCTGTAAAAGCAATCATTTCTCCTTCTCTCTAGCTGCATTCTTGCAGCCATTGAGAACTACTGTGTGAGCTGTGATTGGTCACAGCTTGTCACATGGTACAAGGCTGTTGTGAATAGCCTTATACCATGTGACCTCTGTGATCATTCACAGATTTCACACGTAGTAAGCAATGATGTCACAAGTGAAATCTTGCTTACTACTCTGCATGTGATCACTGATTGGCCAACGAGTGATCACATGATCGGAACCTCGCACAGAGGTCCCATCCGACGATCGGTGTTCCATTGTGTCCAGAGGACACAGCGGGCACCGGATCGCGGTGCTGCGCGCTCCCAGGGAGCGCGTACAGCTAGAAAATGCGGGTGCCGTTTATGAACGGCAACCCGCCCCTGGAGTGCCACCATCCGGCCGATTATAAACAGCAGGCGGACGGCAAGTGGTTAATGATGATAATTTTAGATTAGTCCTCACCAAGACAGGAAACAAGGGTGAATTACTATTGGGGGTAGAACCTGCAACAGAAACCTGACAGAGTACCCAACAGTTGCCCATAGTAACAAAAAAAATTAGAAAAACAAATTACTTGAGTTTCAATTTTTATTTTAGAAGCTGAACAGGCCAAGATTTGGAGTGGAGGCACTCATATTACAGACAATCATAGTCCGATATTGGCAGCTTTATGCTGTTGCTGGCAAGTTATAACTGAGTTGGACTTAAACTTCTTGGGCACTCAAATTGCAAGAGAACACGATTTCCCAGTTCTGCACAACAGCGAGGCTTTATAAAGCCAAATGATGATGTCACTTCCTCAGTGGATAAAATAAACAACCAACACTGGAATCCTGCTGTGTGAAAATTACACCTTTATTATAGCTCTGTTGGAGGAGTAGTAAACTACCACCAGGATCTGTACCCATAGGAATCTCTGAGATATAATAAAAGACGCTGGCTTGTAATTCAATCCTCTAGTGTCCTCTTAAAACTACAATAATTATTTTTGTGTGGTGCTGGCCTTTACAGTACAGCTATACCTTTAACAAAGACTACAATACCCACCCACTCTAGCGCTCCTGAACTAATCTGCATGAAACCCCTACCTAAGCTGCTTATCTCCATTGGACAGCCGCAGCCTGCTCTAGTCTTCATCACTACTGGCTGCACCTACACTGTAAACCCCCAAAAACTTTAATAGGGCTGTACTCTGAGTCTGAGGACGCTTTGCAGGTGGCCCCTATACAGTGAGGACAGTGAAGATTTTGGCCTGGAGAGGATAGAGACAAGAAGAGTGGCACAGTTTTCCATAAAAAGTTAAGTATGCAGCTAGAATGGGGTTTTTTCGTGTATTTAATCTCAGGAGGTACAGGGAGGGTGAGTATTGGCAGCTTATAGTAAAGATACAGCTGTTCTATTACCCACTTCAAGTCCGGACACTTTTACCCCCTTCCTGTCCAGGCCAATTTTCAGCGCTATCACACTTTGAATGACAATTGCATGGTCATGCAACACTGTACCCATATGAATTTTTTAGCATTTTTTTGAGACAGATAAAACTTTATTTTGGTGGTATTTCTTCACCACTGGGATTTTTTTTTTTTTTTTTGCTAAATAAATGAAAAAGTCCACAAATTTTGAAAAAAAGTGTTTTTCTTAAAAAAGTTTGCATATAAATAATCTTTCTTCATAAATCTTGGCCAAAATTTATTCAGTTATCTTTTTAGTAAAAAAAAAATAACCCAAATTAGTTTATAACCAAAAATTATAATTTTTCAAAACTTTTTTACATTTTTATTTTTTTATATTATTATTTATGTTTTTTTTTTTTACATACGGTCACCCTAGCAGTACTACTTGTGGGGGGTGATGAAGATTTTTTTTTTTCTTTTTACACTGATTGCTTTTACACCCATAAAGGCTGTAAAAGCAATTATTTCTCCTTCTCTCTGGCTGCATTCTTGCAGCCATTGAGAAATACTGTGAGAGCTGTGATTGGCCACAGCTTGTCACATGGTACAAGGCTGTTGTGAATAGCCTTGTACCATGTGACCTCTGTGATCATTCACAGATTTCACACGTAGTAAGCAATGATGTCAGAAGTGACATCTTGCTTACTACTCTTCATGTGATCACTGATTTGCCAATCAGTGATCACATGATCGGGACCTCACACAGAGGTCCCGTATAACGATCGGTTTTCCACTGTGTCCAGAGGACACAGCGGGCACTGGATTGCGGTGCTGTGCGCTCCCAGGGAGCGTGCACAAGCAGGATGTTTATAAACGGCCACCTGCCCCTGCACTGCTCCCGTCCGGCCGTTTATATACACGGGCCAGACGGGAAGTGGTTAAAGGAAATATATTAATGGCTAAAAGAGAGTGGGTGAAGCAGTTATCGGAGCATTCTTCTCACTTCTTCTCTCAAAGAGCAGAAGTGGGAGGCCACCTGTATTATGTACATGTAAAAACCCATATCTCCAAAACCCTTCATTGTCGTATTAGACACCCATGTTTTCAGTTGTGGATGGAATTTAAGGGTTCCCTTAGGAATAATTGAAAACATTCAAAGAGTTTGCATCAAGAACAAGATTTTACACTTCATTGTGGACATCCTATTTGCAGGTCCTTACCATCTGGAAGCAAAAGTCGAGCAATATCTTGCATTAGAGTGAAATGCCCAGCTTGCTGACATCTGTAGAGGCTGCGAAGTAAGGCAGGTGCAGCCTCATCCCAGTTCCTCAGGAGGTAACTGAGAGCTGACAGTGCCACCTCCTGGGAGATGTGTAGCAGCAGCTGAATGGGTGAAAACAAGCAGAGATGAGCAACGAAAATGGCAGCTTTATTGTACATCTTTAATACCTTTTGCCACTTAATATTACATGCATTGATTAACTTGCAACACTCTTATCACTGTGCATTTTAACCCCTTCACGCCTAAGGGTAAAACAAATCTTAAAGCATAAGTAAAATTTTACAACTTTGACGTGGTAAATGGTAATGGATATGCCCTAATTTTTTTTTTTTATCAAAGGAAAACTGGCCCAAAATAGTAAAGAAAACATGTTTTTTTAACTTAGCTGTGTGTTTCTTGTAAATACCATAACCTAGTACCAAAGAACAACCCAAAATAAATTTTCCAGCTCTTGATGATTGCAGCGATACCATATATGTGTGTTGTTTGTACCTGTACCACAGCCCAGAAACAATGGTGCGAGTTTTGTTTTTTTTTCACCTAAAATACACTGTCACTGATACCAATTAAAAAAAAAAAAAAATTAAATTCCTGACCTTTGACTTTGACCTTGATCCAAACACTAACCCTGACACTGAACTAGATCAAACCTTGATCTAGGTATTTTTTCTTTATTTTTTTGTCCATCCACTCAACTACATCACAGTAATTGACAGAATATTCTAGCAGAGAGCAAAGTAAGAGCAGATCCAACGGCATCATGGGAGAAGAGCTTCTTCCTGTCCAGCTGCAATCTGAAGTGTTGTAGTGATCACATAAACATCTGATTTTTTTAAATTCTATCACATGTGCCTGACTGTTAGAAGCGCTGAGATACCCTCACTGGCACCAGCGATGAGTTCACTGTGCACATACGCACCACTGATCTGCCACTTCTAAAACACTGCCACAGCACTCACCTAAGGACACTACCTAAAACTGAGGCTTTGCTGAGCTTAGAAAGGTTATGCCTGGGCAGGGATTCCTGCCTTTTTTTGGGCAGTGTTCATTCACCTGAAGGTAGCAGCGTAATCCAAGTTGACATGAATATAAAAACCTCTGTGTCCTGTGAGGTTTGATTACATACCATGTCACCTCCCCTGCTAGATAGGGCTGTGATGTGTTTTACAGAGCTGTCAAAATCACAGGACTTGATGGGGTGAAATATAAATCCTTTGGGAAGTAAAACAAATCTCATGTATGTATTTCATATGGGTATTTAGCGGTTTGCCTGGAGTTTGGCTTTAAAGACAGTACTTACCATAGTTCTTTTCTATAGTCAAAATACATAAAGTAACAAAAAGGTTCATTAAATGTTGTGGCTATGCTTGAAAAAAAAAAGAAGCAAAATCAATATGAATTTAACCTATAACATCTTATGTTACTTTATAAAAAAAAAAGAAGACAAAACATAAGCATCATATTATGGCCTGCTGAAAGAAGCCACCATTACCTGTCTAGAGATGGTATTAGCAGTGCTTGGAGGGGTCTCAGATGAACACAGTTGCTGATAGGCCTCAGTATACTGATCTGCTGTACATACTCCATACTCCTTCTGCCAAACTCCGGTGAGTTTACTCATGAAAGTGTCCTCACCGCCGCTGCCAGCCCATTCATGAAAACATGGGGAAGCCTGCGTCTTCCAGTCTATCCCAGTCTTCTCCGCAATATGACTATAAAGAAGCTCGCTGGTACAGAGTAACAGCCTCTGCCCCTGCAAAACAAGTCAAGTGTTATAAATATTTCCATTCTGAACAGTAACTCTTCCAATATAATGGTCTGATTTGGTAATAATTGTTAAAGTGAACCCAGCCTCAGAGATAGGTATTTATTAGTTCTTACAGATATCACATTACACCCTTCAACAATACTTTCTCTCTAAAAGACTGGCACATCTTTGTTTAGCAGTTATCGAAGGTCAGCATCTACACCCTGGACTGAGATGTTGCCCCAGAGTTAAAACAATCATACAAATTACAAAGCCTTAAGCCCCGTATACACGGGCTGAATATTCGGAGGTATCAGCTGGTTCAATAGACACCGGCCGACTTTGGCCCGTTTGTATGGCAGCCGGTCCAACAGAAGCATGATGAACGTTCAGCTTAGGTCAAAGGGGCATGACTGAAAAAGACCTGCTGATCGGCATCCAATCAGCGCTCTCAGTCAATGGCTGACAGTGCTGACCAGTGTGTTCTGGTGGGAGGGCAGTCCCCCTGTCAGAACACACTAGCTCAGCGGAGGGATCGCTGTACTAACAAACATCGGATTGTTAGTACAGGGTCTCTTCCCAAACTCTTTTTTTTACATTTAACCTGCTGGGTTGAACAAAAAAATAAACTGATAGTATGTACTAGGCTTAAGCAGCAGTTTTCTGTTCAGGGCTGTGTGTGTATGCTTTGTCTCTCAAAGACTAAATTCCTGATGTTGCTTCTCACCTTGTAAACTGAACAGAAAAATACAACTTTGCAATAGTGACCACTGGAAAAGAGGAGACATTTATCCTCCTAACCGCAGCAGATTCATGGCATCTAGTCACCTGTCTGACACTCAAGGGATAGTATTTACTAGTAAAATTAGTTTTTTTTCTTAAAAATACTTTCTCAATGTATGAATAGAGTTGGTTCCCACCATGTGTAGTGGTTTGTGGGTTCAATTTCAGAGGGAGTGTAAATGGACTATGAGTGTGCTAATCGGTACACTCACAACCCATCCAAAACTACAAGCCTGTCTGCCGCAGTGGCGGGCGGGACTTTTAGTTTTTCACTCACAGATTTTTGTGGATGAATGTTGTGTGGGCCACGCTGTTTTCAAAATGTGACAGCGGGTGCAGAGAGTGGATAATGGCGCAAAACAGACAAGATCATGCATCATGCGTTGAGATGTATTTTGAGTGCAACTGTTAATTTAAACATTTATGTCAGTGATACATTTATAAAGAATGATTTAAGATGAGTGGGAGTAATAAAATAGTTGAGTAGTAAATAAAAGGAAAATAGAGATATATATTCATATAACATTAGTAAGAGTTAATTTTACAATGTAGACTTGCATTGCATGTAAGAGTTGCAACATTGTAATATCTCAAATAACAGACTGTTTCAAATGATCTCCCTTTTTAAGTGAAACATGTCATAGTTTGTGACTACAGGAGAAATTGGGACAGTTGCAACAATTCAGACAGACAGAAACAGTGTGTGTATATATATATATATATATATATATATATATATATATATATATATATATATATATATATATATACACACACACAGGAAAGACACAGTTTTAGTCTGTCTGAATCGTTGTAACTGTCCCAACGTCACCTATAGGCACAAACTTTATGTTTATGACTATAAACCATGTCCACATATCAGGCGTAAAATCTGAGTAGGTAAACCACGTTTCACTTAAAAAGGGGGATAATATATACCTAAAATGTGCAGAACAAAACATAATTACACCATAAACAAATAAATACCAAAGTGAGCAAATAAGCACAAATAGATAAATTGTGAAAAGAGACCCACAGATCATTCTTCTGTGTGACTATAAAATACAATTGTGGTGATCAATCAACTCCAAGCAAGTCATACACAAAACATGGAAAGTGATAAATATTAATGTGAATGAAAGTGTGATACCCATTTTTAAATAAAAAGGATATAACTAATTTACAACACTGTAAGGTTTGGTCTTCTCTCTTTATGATCTGAGCTGATATTGATTGGAGTGTGGAGCTATTCCTGCTTTTGGCTATATGGGGATTTGATCCCACAAGCGCTTATCGCTACTCAATAACTAGAGTGCCATTGATCTCTGGTAAGGTGGTGTGCTCTCTATCTCCTGTCTCCACGGAATCTTGTAATAAGCCTTGAAAGTGGAATTTGGCACTGCACAAGATTATACTCACTTGGATGAATGCAGTGGTAGACTTTTATTCACATGAATATTTATCACAACTTGTTTTGTGTATGACTTGTTGGGAGCTGATTGATCACCATAACTGTATTTATATAGTCACATAAAATTTTTGTGTATGAGACACAAAAGCAGAGTCTTTTTACACAGTTTTATCTATTTTTGATAATTTGCTCAGTTTGGTATGTTTATGGTATAATTAACTTAGCACTGCACATTAAGAATATATATGTATACTAAAATTAGTGTCAAAATGTTGATGCTAGCTGCTTCTTTCTTCTTTTTGATTGTTTATTTTACCAGAGTACACAGAGTTTTGGTGGGTAGGGTGCACCAAGCAGCGCTGCAATTGTGCTGCATTTTTCAAAATGGACATAAATGACAAATTTTTAAAAAACAAAAAAGAAAACTAACCTAGCCCCTTAACCTAATCTAATCCAGAACTCCTTTCACTGGGATGATGTTAAAGACTTTTCTGATGGCGTTATTGACTCTGGTCAAACACACGCTGGAAGCATTGGACATTTTTACCTGCCTTGAGCCAATCTATATTTCTAGTGAGTTGCTCGCTTTAAAAGGAAGGTGGGGCTAACTTGAAGGTAAATCTGCTCTCAGTTTATTCATTGCTATATATGCCCCGGTTTGGGAGTTGAGAGTTTAGCATTGGGAACCATACTTTGCATAGGTGCCTTGGCACGACAGTATGACTTCATTAATGTTTGCCAATGTATGTGACAAACACCTTGACATTTAATTTACATATTAGATGCAGATTAAGTTAATCTTTTGTGCTAGATTACTCGAGTGCTGGGAAATTGTATATTTTTAGCACTAGAAAGACTGGCATAATAAACAATATATATCTCTGCTAACCAGCAGGCTGGAATGAGGCTGTAGGCATTGCTGGGCCCCAACCCAGTTCTTCACAGTGACATGTTCCTGTGCACAGCGCAAGGCGAAGGAGGCGGCCAAGTCCTTCTCTCCTGCAAGTAATGCTAGTTCAGCTGCAGTGGTCAGAGACAGCAGGTCTCCTTTCTTGGCCAGGACTTTAGCTGCATCATAGGGAGAGGATGCCCCTAAGTAACTGCAAGACAAGGAAAGCGAGAGACAAAAAGATATAGAATGTCAAACAACAAGCCCTTTTTTAAAGGGCAACGATACACAAATTACATTTTCAAAAACTGGCACATTTAAAAGAGGTTTCCTTGTAAAAGTTTCAATAGATGATAAAAACCAAAAACATTTAAAATGGCACAGTCATATTTTTAAACATATAGCTGTCCTTCTAGGTCTTGTAATCACTTGGAAAATATTAAGAGCTCAACTCCAACCCAAATTTTTTTACTTTTTTTTTTTTTTTAGTTTTGGACAGAACGGGATAAGGGTTAGTGTTGGTGTCTGTGTACCTATAGGGGAGATTTTCCTTAAGCCTCATCAGGACAAAAAGCGATAGAGAAATTTCTTCTACATTAAAAAGAACTAAAACCAATTTTTAGTGGAGTGGGGAAGGGTTTTAATGTTTGACAATTTTGCTATCTGTTCCTTCTTGACACAGACAGCAAGGAGCAGTGACAACTGCTCCTTTAAAATCATCTATGAGCATCACAAGAATGGGACGTGAAGGAAAAAAAAAAAAGACTGGAGTTGAAGTCTACTTCTGGGCAAAATAATATAAATAAACATATACATAGTGCATCTCTACAATACATGCACATTCCTCATGATTTTTTTCTGTAATAACACTGCAAGTACAGAAAAATACCTGTTGATCTGCCAGAAATCCAGGGAGCTCCTACATTCTTGGGATGAGCTGACAACTCTGCCCTTGGTGGAGATGAAAATCCTAGGCAATGATATCAGCCCTGCCCAATGCTCCCCCGCTGTACTACAGAACAGTTCCCTTGAGGTATCCTGAACAAGTGTGGTTTGAAAGTTCAGCTCACTTATTGCTGACTCAGGGGTCTAACTTTGAGTATATTCCTGGGTCCAGCTCTGTGTCAAAGTTCTCCCAAGGAAGGTATGTTAACTAGGACTCTCAAAGTGGAACTTTAGCCAGAAAATTAAGTCTTGCTAGAACACTTCAGGTACAGCTATGAAAAACATTAAAAATAAGTGCTTATAATGTTTTAAATCCAGTAATACTCTGTCTCACCCTGCTCTGTACATGCTCAATTGCTCTATTATTCAGCACAGTGCCAAAAATGTAGAGGCTGATCTGCTGAAACCTAAATATTTACAGCTGCTCAGAGGCTCTGGGCTTCAGCATAACAGCAGCCTCCAGCCAGAAGTAACAGAAACAATGCTGGAGGCAATTTACAGCACACACTAATTTTGGTAGCATAAAATACGAATGTGAAATGTATGTTTCTTGTTAAAGAACATTTTTTTTTCAAGCGGTTATTTTTTTATCAAGTGGTTATGGGTAAAGGTCTGCTGTAAGCACCATGTGTCTAAAAACGTGGACTACTCTATGAATGCACTTTACAGAGAATGAGTCAACATTTATACGGTGCGTAATAACAGGTCATTAGGCTGTTAGAATTGTTTTACCCAAGCCTTGAGTTCTCTTACAAGGGCATTTATATTATTTAACAGACCACAGTGTTTTGCCTGGAATCCAACTACTCCCAAATCCTTAACTAGAGTCAGGTACTTGCCACTTGGCAGCCATGGCGTAGTGTCCATCCTGCTCCAGCACTGCAGCCCAGCTGGTGTACAGCTCCCGTAATATGGGGTCATCCGAGAGCAGGCGTGCTTTAGCCACAACAATAGCTTCCCTGGAATAAATAAGAAGGGGAATCAGAATCTTTCAGCTTCTGTGCCATTACATGTAAAAATATTCACCATATTCATCGTAGTCCCTCCATAATCTTATGGGGACAGTAAAAATCTCTGATTGGAAACCATGGACTAAAATGGGATACTGAATAAGCTCATCAGCAATAAGGAACAAACAAATTTAAATATTTCAATTCCCCTGCTTATGCAGGGCAAAAACAAAATGGCAGTTTTTACCCCCTCCTCCTCCTCCACGGCAGCACTCGCTTACACCAGTTATGTCTTATTTCTCACGTCACTCCATTCAGACACTGGGAGAAAAGTGAAACAGACACTTTCAGGTATGGCTAAGCAGGAGACTCTATCCCCTGCTCCCATGTGACAATGCTAGGTGCCACATAATTGGCCCAGGGAAGGAGCCTATAGCCTTGTGCAAATGCCAGAAAGTTGGTTTGGAGCTTACGCAAGGCTTTTCTTACCCAGTCCTGGAGAAAAAACAGAGTTGCGCAGGAGCGGAGAAAGGTGAGTATGCACGGTTGAAGAGGGTTGAGTTAAGTGACCCTTATAATTTGTGCTACAAGGATATAGGAAAACAACTTTAAGAGCTTTACTGTTAGGCAGACCTTGTGGTCCTCACTAGTTGATACTTCGGACATTGGCAACATAGGCCTAAGTCCTCTAAACAATGGCAACTAAAAGACAGCAATGTGATACATCAGCGGAAATTTTGATACAAATATCAGAGAATGCCAAGTTAGAATATAAATATTAGAGGGGGAGGTAATGGCTCTTGAGCTGCGTAGTATATAACTGGGATAGCATGAAAACAGATAGCCCTCGGTTGCCTCAAAGAAATGGAATAAATCTATTTAATATCACAGTGATATAGTAATCTCCCTTTGGGATAAGAACAATAATATACACATAGAATAAAATGTATCTCTGTTTAACTAACAGATCATACATATGCTCAGGAGCTGTCCTCAAGCTCCTTTATCTTGGATACCTTTGAGTTCACAAACAACAGCTTCCAATTAAATCAGGATGCTGCTGGATCAAGGACTGACACAATGATGAAAGAACACTGTGATTGGACTATAGCACAATGTGAAAAATTCAGATGATCAATAGAAAAAAAACCCAAAACTTTAAAATGTACGTGGATGCTTAATCAACGCAGGCAATGCAAACAGGACAATAATGGCCCGCTCTCTTTGTCCTGACAAAGACTTAGTCATAAAGGAAAGGTAACAATCATGCCTAGATCCTACAATAGAAAAAAAAAAAAAACTTTTTCAGCACACATACCTGTAGAAATGGTTTCCTTGCAGTAGTTGAACAGCTTCGTATACTTTGTTAATAGACAGAAGGTGGGAAGCAGCTTTTGTGTATTGTTCCTGGAAGCAAAGTTGCTTCACATAGGATTCAACTGTCCAAACCCAGACCTTGTATCCAGCTACAGGCAGAATAAAAATACCATTAATCTAATGCAGTCCCTTCTAAGTCCAGAATTTGGAACTGATGAGGGATAAGTACAATATACATGTATAGCCAGCTATCTACTGTGCACAGAAAATTACAAGACTCAGTGAAATAAAAAACTGTATGCATTTTCTCTAAATACCGGCCTAATCATTCCCTTCGTTCCTCCCAAGACCTCCTGCTCTCTAGCTCCCTCATCACCTCCTCCCATGCTTGCCTCCAGGACTTTTACTGAACCCCTACCCCAATCTGTCTATCTCCTACTTAGTTTGCTTTTAGACGATCCCTCAAAAACTCTCCTTTTCAGAGAAGCCTATTCTGCCCCTCCTGACAACTGGAGTTTTATTTTGTCCATCAGTTCATCCCCCCACAGTTATTAACGTTTTGGATCACTTGACCCTCCCTCCTAGATTGTAAGCTCTAACGAGCAGGGCCCTCTGATTCCCCCTGTATTGAATTGTATTCTAACTGTACTGTCTGCCCTCATGTTGTAAAGCCATGCGCAAAATGTTGGCGCTATATAAATCCTGTATAATAATAATTTTCAACTTCTGTCAGAAAAGATTCTGAGTCTATTCATTCTGACCCCCTTACCTACCCATGGGAGACAGTGACACCAGTTGGTCTGTGAGCTCTCCCCTCTCTGCAGCAAGTTGTAACGTCCCCTTCAGGTCCCCTTTCCACAACATGATGTGGTGCTGCAGCTCAGGGTGTCCACCCTCAAGATGTGCTTTGCCTATTAGAAAAATAGAGTAAAGAGAAATAAAAAAAAAAAAAAAAAAGGAAATGCATAGTTATAGTTTAGGCTGTTATTTACAAACATATATAACTGCAACAATTAGCCTTCAGAACATATCCTATAATGTATTTTTTTAATTGTTTTACCTGTCTACCATCAGAATTGTCTACCATCAGAAATTCCAGCTTCCAGCAAAGGTGATTCAAGTTTAAATCCTCTTTAGGCCTCGTTCACAGAATATGTGCAGAAAAACTGACGGAAATTGACATGCAGATTACACTTGCAGAGACATCAGTTTACATCAGTTTTCCTGCACGCTTCAATGACTTTTACACGTTGCAGACTGAAGCGCAGAAAAAAAATCTTCACTTGATACTAGTGTTGTGGTGTCAACAGGGCACATAGAGAACAGCTGATTTTGTTGTGCCCCTGCAGAATGCGTGCAGAAAAAGTGACTGATGTGTCATGCTGTGAACGAATCCTTAAAAACAGTTTTTTTTTTTTAATAGAACTTTTTTTTTTTTAATACTTTTTGTTACATTGTTGTTTGTCCTCCTGTAGCAAATCCTTGTGGTGAAAGGACTGGAGGAAGGGTCTGAGTACCTTATAAGGGTCTAGGTGGTGGTAAAGTGTGCGACCAGTGGTGTGTGATGTAACAACCTGGTCATCCACTTTAAACTAAGCTCTGAGTGGATAAATTTAGTGCCAAATTTCAAAGGTTGGCACTGTAAAGTAACTTTTTATCTGTTCATGACTCTGGACTGTATATAATTTCAAGCTTCACCTGTCACAGTGTGTATACCCTAAAATGGGGCTTCAGGGACTGGGTTCCACCTGTGGTGGACCTCGGCCTTCTTTAACTGTATAGAACCCTGTGGCTAACTCAACCCCATCATGTGCCAAGGTATGCTGGATCCAGTGCCCGAAGCAACATTACAGCCCATCCCCACAGTGTGGGGTATGAGTACGACTCTCACTGAGGTTGCAAAGATCAAAATACATTGCTTATGTAGAAGGTGAGTTTGAAGAATTCTTTAGGAAAATAATACAAGAAAACATTAAAGTAGTAAAGCTGGTTTCTTCAGGGAGGAGAAGAGGTTCATCACCTACAGACACTAACAAAAAACTGAGGACTCACAGAGTAAGGTAGGTTTATAGGGGATACACCCCAGACGTACAGGTCTTCCAATCACCTAAAGGTACAAACCTATAACCCATGATATACAAATAAGCCCATGTGCTGTACTGTATGGTTGAGATAAGGGTACAAGAAACGCATCTATTGTTCAAACAGTATATGATCAGAAAAAAAACCCAAAAAACAGTTATACAAACCCTCTTCTTCCATGAGCCGATGCAGAGCAGCTCGATCACTATACAGACCAAGGTGAACAGAATCTTCCAGCAGGGCTTGGGATCCATCAGCTAGAGGAAATAAATTGCAATTAGCATAAGTAGGAATATTTCCTAAAACCTCAGAATGTGAGTACCAGCATTCAACAGTGAACCTGGGAGTTGCCACTGAACTACCCATTAGCCTACAGATTATGCCAAATTTAAGTCTAGTTTTGGATACACCGAGGAAGGATTAGAACCTCAATAAGGTTTTTAATGTATTTTCAATTTGTGCTTTCTTATTTCCTTATTGCTATGTGGCATTATTGCTATCTATATACCCGTTGGGAAGAACAAACTTCCCTACCTGTCCTGATGACCATTTTCACTGAGAAAGAAAGTGATAGGCAATTCAAAATGTTTTGGCTATCAGCTTAAGAGCAGTAACAGGGAAATCGTCCAATAAGAGCTACCTGTTCTAGTAACAACTGTCACTATAGGAAGACTTTCACATTTCACATTTAGCACTGTTCCTTACAATCTCTATAGACTACAAATCACCTCCTGCTGTTACAGAGAAGAGAGGGAGTGTTATGTAGTTTTTGCAGTGTAGTGTCCTAACATACTCCCTGTCCTAGTGGGACAACATTGCTCAGTACATTTGTCCACCTAGGACAAGAAGTCAATTGATGGCAACATTATCATGTTAAAATAAAGGACAAAAAAGTGTGGTAAAAGAAAACGAATGCAGCCAACACATCTAAGGACCAGTAAGCTGCAAAACAATCGATTTTTGTTCTCTTAGATACCCTTTAAAAAAACACCTCTAAACTCTAGCAGAAGCAAAAAAAAAAAAAAAAAAAGTTTCCGTATGAGTTTCTTACTTTCACAAATATTATCAACTATAATACTACAACAATGAAAATGATGTCATGTGTTGTGAGTTTAGTGCCTGTTTACAATGAGTCGAATATTTAGCCACAAAAAAGGAAAAAAAACCCCCCAAAAAAAACAAAAAAAAAAAACTTTCCTCCAAAGCTTCATGCCCCGTTGAAATGATCCATCTGTGCCAGAATAGATCTGCTGGCATCCTAACCCATACATCTCTGCCCATCCCTTCAAACATCTAAGGTTCACTCTGATGTAATTTAAGATACCAGGCAACAAACACACAGCACTGCATGACTGACAGAGGTTTTAAAAAGCATCTGATGGTGCTGTCTGGTGTCTACTGTCTGACAAAACAGAACTCTGTATGCACTTCCAGGCTTTCACACAAATGAGAGATTTCCAAGATAGCATCAGATACTCAATGACCTTTGAGGTTTATTGCCTGGTGTTCCTCTGTAGTTCTGGCACAAGCATTCTCTCACCTTCTTTGGTACAAACCGCCGCTGCCAGTTTCACACAATCTCGATGCTGTTCTTCCTTAGACCGGTGATCTTTGCCGGTACTAACAGGAAGGAGAGACTGAGACTTTTTCTTTCTTCCACGTGTGTCTGATGAGGAAAGCACAAAGAGAGAACACAAACTGATATGCTAAGAAATCCAAATCAAAGAGCTTATTAGGTTTTTAAAGTTTCAGAAATACATATAGGAAGCACAATAATTAACACTGTAAACATACAGGGAAAAAATGGGGTTACAGAGCACCAAAAAAAAGCAATGTAAGCAAAAAAAAAGAATGCATTTAGAGAAAGGAAAAAGGAAGGAGTGGTGAAAGAGAAGACAGCAAAGGAAGAAGGATGAGGGTAAAAGTAGAAAAAAGAAAGGGAGAGAAGTAAAAAAGAAAAAAGGAAGGGGAAAGAGGGAAGGAAAAAATAAAGGGTGGAGGACAGGTGTGGACTAGGGAGACCAGTGGGGCCCGATTAGATGCATGGAAATCTTAGTTTTCGTTGGGGGGTGGTTTCCAAGTGAGAGAAAATAAAGATCCAGATTTATATGGTGATTATAATCTAGCCACAGTGACCATGTTTAGAGAAATTCTGGTAATCATTAAGAACTGCAATGAGTTTCTCTGTGCCATAGTGCCCATCACTATGTCACCTCCACAATGTTGAGGACTTGATTTGTTTCCAGCACTGGCCAGCATTTGCCCAACAGAAACAACAATAAACAAGTCTATTAGTTTACTTTGGCATCTAGCAAGATCACAGACTGGCTTATGTAGCAATGCCTTCCTGGGGTTCCGAATCAAGTTACAGTTCAGAACTAACCTAATCAAATTATATTCGCAGATCCAGAACGGACAAGCTTTAGGGCAGTACCACCATACAGTATGTGTGTTAGAGTACCATTCTCTTCAAAGCATCGAAAGTAGGGAGAGAGGAGATAACTGCAGTCATTTAGCATATTGCTGTGAGCAGAAAACCCTTCCAACCATAACCAAGGTTAAAGATATATAAAACAGACACAGATGGTTAATATTTAAAGTGGTAAAAAGCCAATCTCCCATCACAGGGGCTTTTGGAGGGGACTAAGGGCTAGCCAGCTCAGTTCAGCCTCTGATCCCATGGAGAGAGCAGATCATTCTCGAATGATGGACAATAACATGATGAACGCTGAGAGCGAAGCTTGGAGTAATTCTCTGAATAAAGACAATAAAGCTTCCCTTCTGGAGTGGATGGAAAGGTGTAATATTGATCTTATACAGGTTGAAAGTCAGAGGAAATATGGTGGCCCTCCTGCAGACAGGGTTGGAGAAGCTCCTCCACTTGGGACCAAAATATTTATCAACAATCCTCTTCAAGAAATCTATGAAGATAAATTAATTCCACTATTTCAGACTGTGGGAATATTGTATGAGTTTTGTCTTATGATGACTTTTCTAATGGACAGATTACACAAGTAAAAGCCAAAACACCTGAAAGACAGCATACATAATGTACTTTGTGTATTCAGGGTTGTTGGCTTGTTGCTGGACCATCTGGAGTGGATTCCTGACTTGTTTGGGTGCCTAGCAGTTTATTAGTCTACTCTTAATTAGATCATTGTTTAATTAGGTTACTGATGATATTACTGGTTTAAGTTTGCATTGTTTAGGATCATGTGATCAAGCTCTTATCTGATTTTGGGGACAATGTATTTCTATACAGGGATATCAAAACTGGAAGCCAGGCATGGCTATTGCCATCCTTGTGAAGTAGACTTCTTTGTTTATATCACATGTACAATGCAATATATGCCAGTGTCAGGTCTTATAACAGAGGTCCTTGGAAGTCTGAGGTGATCCAATTACTTTGTGATCATTATGGCAACTATGGCTGCATCATAAGATCATGCTATGGAATTAGTTGGACTTCACAGGGCTGACATTTGCACACCTAAAAGGTTTTGCCAAGCTGTGGAAAAAACAATTTTCAAAGCATCAAAAGTAGAATATTTAATGTCTATTTCAATCGTATCACAAATTACCTGTTTTTTCTTTTACATGTTCCTTCTTAACAGGCACTCTTTTTATGGTTGGACTGAGACTACGTCCCTCCACTGTGGGCAATGATGATGGCAGATCTGGCACAGTGTCAGACTCTATTGTAGCTGTAACTGTAAAGAAAAACATATGTTATGATATAACAAAGTAATAAGAACTATATTATTTTAAGTTAGCTTTCAGAGCAATCAGGCCTCCTCTTTGTATAGTGAGCACAAAAAAAATCTGAAACACAGGAGGTGGGATGACTGCCAATGTTAAGCCTAGTACTCACAATGAGAATATTGCACAATTGATTGTCCATTTTTTTTTCTAGCATGCTAGTCTCATATTGAAAATGAATAAGTTACTAAAGTTACGGAAAATTCTTGTAAGAATACAACTTCCCAGGATGATGTAATGTATTCTTTCATTTCTTGGTCACTCGATTTTTTTTTCAGATGAATACTGTACTGATTAATTGAAAATCGTTCGTTCCGTTATCTTATGAGAAACATTTTCGTGCTTGTTCCTTTGGATATTTTCACATGAACTGTCTCAATAAGACCAAGAAAGCTGTGTACTAATGATCAGATTATCGTAAGATCGCTCCGAAAACCTTTTTTTTTGGCCCGATTTTTTCATTGTGTGTACTAGACATTAATCTACATATAAGGAGACAGTGAAATGAAATATTACAAAGATGCATAGATAAGTCCTTCCTCTAAAGAGGCACCTGGCGGTCTGAGGGAAGACCTCGCTGTTCATGACAGATATGGAAAGACCCCACCATGAAAACAAACTGGTGAAGGGAAAAAGAGATTCCTTTTTGTAAAATACAAATGTACTTGGTGGCAGAATTAGCTTTAAAAAGATGGCACCTGGTTAGAAGTAAATGCAGGCATAGTAGATAATGAAATGCACAACCTACCTATCAGCAAAACCTTTTATTAAATTCCAAAGTTTTAATAGGTTTTATACAATCAGTGGTGGTTTTGTTGCAAGTCCGATTACTGCCCTTCTGGCCCGGTCTGTGAGTTTTGGTGGACGGCCTTTTCTTATAAGGGTTACAGTGGTGCCATATTCTTTCCATTTTGTTATAATGTATTAATGGTGCTCCATGGGATGTTCCAAGCTTTGGATTTTTTTTTTTTTTTTTATAACCCAACTCTAACCTATATCTCCACAACTGCATGTTGCTTGTTTTAGTGGTGTTGCATACTCAGGGACCTTTCACAACAAGTGTATTGTACTTATACTGACATCATGTCACACTTTGATTGCACACATTTAATCATCATGTCACTCATTTAATTATGGGACAACTGAAATTGATTGGTTTGACCACGTTATTTAAAGGTTTCGTAACAAAGGGTGTGCATATTTATACACACTAAAGATATCTGTCCTTTTGTCCTACTAATTATTGTTTTTAACATAATAAAAGGGCCTTAAAGACTGGTCCCCCACTCCCTGTTAAGGATTGGCAGATTTGGGGAGCGTATACCCGAAATTGACAGGTACCTGCTCACACTTCTGCTGCGATCGCTTGGGACGGGTGTCAGCAACCTGCGGCTCCAGAGCCGCATGCGGCTCTTTTTCACCTTTGCTGCGGCTCCGGAGCACACTGCCCACCAGGTGACAGGCAGCCGCGGCTCGCGAGCCACATGCGGCCTCTTTACACACTTCAATGCGGCTCTTCTGTGTGCCGGTCGCCCGCTCCCCTCCCTCCTCTCGGGCGGCCGCCCCAAAAGTCAGGACTCTGCAGCTAGCCCAGCAATGGGCAAACTACGGCCCGGCGGACCTTTTAATCCGGCCCGCGGAGCGTGGCAAACATTGGCTGTCAGGATGTAGGCGGGGCAGCCAGGATGTAGGCGGGGCAGCGTGACGAACTCCTCTCCTCTCACAGTCCGCCCTGAAGACCGGAACGGTGCGGGAACACGGCGAGAGGAACGCGCGGAGCAAAGGTAAGTGAATTGACACAATATGGGGAATGAATTACTATAGGGGGGATGAATTACTATATGGGGGATGAATTACTATGGGGGATGAATTACTATGGGGGATGAATTACTATATGGGGGATGAATTACTATATGGGGGATGAATTACTATATGGGGGATGTATTACTATGGGGGATGAATTACTATATGGGGGATGAATTACTATATGGGGGATGAATTACTATGGGGGATGAATTACTATATGGGGGATGAATTAATACGGGGGGATGAATAACTATAGGGGGGATGAATTACTATATGGGGGATGAATTACTATATGGGGGATGAATTACTATATGGGGGATGAATTAATTGTGCCCAAGAAGCATCCGGAAAAATATACATTTGTCTGAAATTTGTTAGGACTGCAGTACACTGGGGTTTCATTATGTGCCCTCTGAAGTGAACACATATATTTGCAAATGTGTGCAAACTAAACCCTGTGTTTTAACATGAACAATTAGAGTCATTTTGGTTTGTTGCAGACCAGCTTGTAAGTAAGCTGGGAATTTTTGTTTGTTGTTTTTTAACATGTCGCCTTCCATGTGCAAAGACCAGGCATAGGTTGGGGCGCTGTTCCTCCTCCTAATACTAAAGATAGGGCAAAGTTTATGCCCACTGACACCAGAACATTTTCAACTCCCACGGGCCACTGTTTGCTCCGCCTAAAGTCTGAAGAACAGTAAACTGGTCCTTTGGTTAGAAAGTTTGGAAACCCCTGATCTAGGTCATTAGTGTGACATCAGTTTCAGAAACTGTTGAGATCATTCAGAATTTGACCTGCAGTTGACCTCCTTCTAAATTGCAAATGACATACTTTAAAGCGGAGTTCCACTTGCACTGTAAAAAAAATAAAAGTCAGCAGCTACAAAAACTGTAGCTGCTGATTTTTAAAAATCAGCCACTCACCTGTCCCACAATCCCATGGTGTCCTCCCCACAGCCCGTTTCACCAGCCGCCTGTGTTCCAGGCGCCTGCATCTTCATTATGGGCATCCGTCTGTGAAAGCTTGCGTCTTCACAGCTGGGTGTCCAATGCGCATTTGCGAGTAGCGCTGCACTTCCTGAATAGCCCTGTAGTCTTCTGGGACCTGTCACGTGTCCCACAAAAATTCGGGGAGGGAGGGTGGGATGACAACTTCCGCTTCCGATCGCCTAGGCAGTCACAGCAGAAGTGGGTACCTGTCAATTTCAGGTACCCGCTCCCCAAAGGTGCCAATCCTTAATGGGGAGCGGGGGACCAGTCTTTAAAGCGGAACTTTTGGGTGGAACGCCGCTTTAAAGTGAGTTCATAATCCCATAGGCTTGTATGTGAATACAGAACCAATTTAAAGCAAATAAATATTCTGTCGACACAGGCCCTATCCTACAGCAGTCAGTTTTCACTTTACTGAAGACCTGTAAATAAATAAATCCCTATTGGTTACTTTGTTAGAATTAATGTTTGCACCTCCCTATGACACAAATCCATTTCTGTAAAGATTTCTACAAAAGAGAGTGCTTGTTCATTCTTATTCTGAAGCACAAACTAAACACATAATCTTGAATTATATTCCTGAATTAGCTAATTACTAAATAATGCATTGTGTTCTTTTATTCATGAACAGCCCAACAAGGCTCAAGGGACTAAAACAAAGAAAATATAAATACAACTTCCAAATTAACAAACATGGGCGACTATAGACAATAAGTAAGAGAATGTCCGATATAAAAACTTTGCAAAACTTTTAGCCCAGAAACAGGGGATGTACATTGATTAACAGGCAGAGGTCGGCAGGAGTCCCAAATACCTGGGGTGTTCTAAATTATTCACAAGTATGCATCATTTATGGGCTAGAAATCATCACAGAAAACTCAGCTGCATTTTGACAGTTCACATACTTATCTTTTTTTTTTTTAACCATACTAAATTATTTATACAAGAAAAGAGCATCATAAGGCATCTCATTCAGATGCAGAACAACATTTCCAAAATCTATCCTTAGTAACCCTAATCCTAACTGATTTCTTCTTAGTTTCTTGGGAGGAAGGAAATCCAAACAAGAAAAGCCCTAGAGACTGGACTGGAGAGCTTTCCTATGGATTTAGCATTTTAGTGCAAGGGTTATTAAAGAATAGCTCCTAATTGGATGGCTCCTGTCCAATTAAAAGCCACACTCAAAACTCAACTGTGATCAGGTATGTGTTAGCCATATAAAACCTCCTTATTAAATGACAGCAACTTTTTTCAAGGTGTTCAGGTTTCTTGGGGCAAGTAAGCTGCTATAAAGAGAACTAGTTCTTTTTAACTAACCTGCAGAGTATATAGCAGCTGTACATAGTGCAACCAATCTTTACAGCACCTTTGCCAAGAAGGAGGCTGTGAAGAATTGACCAGACTGTACATATATATGCGTATGAGGCATCATGATGCTTGCAGGGATTTGTGGAAGCAGAGATGAAACAGTATTGCAGCCTTAGAAGCAGCATGAAGCCAGCTAGACCACAGAAAGACGTGATGTAGTAATCTGGTTAGTAGGAACCTGACTATTTGTATTCAAAGTGGAACTGAACTCAAAAAGTGAAGATTTGCCAAGTTATATGATAAATCTAGAAATGTTAATTGTGCCCAAGAAGCATCCGGAAAAATATACATTTGTCTGAAATTTGTTAGGACTGCAGTACACTGGGGTTTCATTATGTGCCCTCTGAAGTGAACACATATATTTGCAAATGTGTGCAAACTAAACCCCGTGTTTTAACATGAACAATTAGACAGAGTCATTTTGGTTTGTTGCAGACCAGCTTGTAAGTAAGCTGGGAATTTTTGTTTGTTGTTTTTTAACATGTCGCCTTCCATGTGCAAAGACCAGGCATAGGTTGGGGTGGTTGTCATTTGTTTGTACTGTTGGTAAATTGGTGTGCAGACACACCGGATACTCGCTAACACTGTGCTATTTCTGTGTGTCCACTGCGTCCCTATACCTTTAAGGAGGGCTGGGCTCCCTGCTTGCATACTTGCTCTCAATCTATCCATTATTATATATGTGCTCCAACTTTGGAGACTTTCAAAATTTATAGAATTAGGACTGCAGTACACTAGGGTGCCGTGAGGTGGCCTCTGCAGCTTACGCATAGATTGCAAATGTAAA